CCCCATGGGTTTCTGAGCCTGTTACCTCTTTACAGGAGTGGAAAGCCTGGCCTTTCTCACGGAACAGCTGGGGGGTTCACACCGCTGACCCTGCGGCCAGCAGCCGATGCATAAGCCCTTATGCCACCAGGGCTCCTGAAATGGGGCGGTAGGCCTCATTAAGTCTGGGAAACTATGAGCTAGACGGACAAAAGAAAAAAAGGGGGTGGGCGTGAATGATGCAAGTAGCCAAAATAAGGATCGAAAGAGAGGACATTTTGCAACTGACCCGACAGAAAAGACAAAAATGATGACACAAGATCGTAAACAACTGTATGGCAGCCAACTAGATAACCCAGATGAAATGGCTAAGTTCTTAGAAGCACATAACTTTCCCCAACTGGTTGAAGAATAAATAGCCTCAGCAGATCTGTAACAAGTGAGGAATTGAAACAGTGATCGAAAACAAAACAAAAACATTAAACAAAATGTTCTGGAGCAGATGGCATCATTAGGAAATTTTACAAAACATTTAGAGGAGAACTGACATGAATATGTTTTAGATTCTTCCAAAAGATCGACAAGAAAGGGGTCCTCCCTAATGCACTCTACAAAGCAAACGCGACCCTGACACCAAAACAGACTTCTTCCTCTGAAGTGGGGACCTGAGTGCCTCTTCATCTGTTCTTGGTCTGGAAGCTCCGCTGGAACTTGCTCACTGTGGGTGACCCTGCTGGCATTTGAAATATCAGTGACATAACTTCCAGCATCACAGCAACACACAGCCACCAGTCTGACAAACTGACAGCCAAGTAGTGACCAAAACCAGACAGACAACAGAAATACCCCCCCCACCCAAGCCAATGTCTCTTATGACTAGATATGCAAAAATCCTCAACAAAATTCCGGTGAACAGAATCCAACAAGCATGGTAAAAAGTTATGTGCCATGACTAAGTGGGACTTATTCCAGAAATGCAGCAGTGGTTCAAGATTAGGAAAGCAATCAATCTAGTGGAAGAAGGCCGACTTCTGCCTTGTAAGAGTCATCCTTGGGCAGATGCTGAGCTGGGTCTTTCTCCCTTGTGTAGCAGGTCATCAGGTCAGGTGTGGTTTCTATGCCATTTCCTCACATCCTTTTTCCCCCTCACATCTTTTTAACTTCGCACAGACTCTGAAATATTTTTAGATGGAAAGATATAATTACAGGTTCAATATTTCCAAATAATTAAGAATTGAGAGAGTGGGTATCATCATAAATGAAACAAGATTGGCCATGCGTTTCTAGCTGTCCTGAGTGGTGAGTGCAGAGAAGGCCATTACACGCTTCTCTTGTGATGTTTGAAATTGCCCTTAGGGATGAAAAAGAATATCCCATATATAGTCGTGTATAAGCCAAGTTTTTCAGCACATATTTTATGCAGTTTTTGTGGTAAAATTAGTACCTCGGCTTGGCTTATACTTGAGTATATACAGTACCTTGCTTATAATCAGCATAAAAAGAATTCAAGTACCACATATACTCAAGTATAAGCCGACCCGAATATCAGCCAAGGCACCTAATTTTACCACAAGAACTACATTAAAAATGTGCTGAAAAACTCGGCGTACACACGAGTATATACGGTGAATATTGTTGTACAAAGCAACGGTTCTGAAAAAACAAGGTTATTTCCAAGTGTCCACTCACTGTAGTAATGCTTTTTGAAATATGCCAACTACAGGGCTCATACCAAGTTTCTATATTCACTATGTTAAAGAAAAAGTACACCTTAGAAATGTGCAAATGTGACAGGATAGGACTTGCTTTCCTTCAGGTCTTATTAAGAGGTGAAGTCCAAATTTATGTTCCCGAGTTGGTAGGATGGTAGTGAGCAGAGCTGTCTTCCAAAGTTTACGGTCCTTCAGCTGTAATTAGTAATTACCCTCTTAATCCCTTCTGTGACGCTTGTCTAAATAAGAGACAAACGTGCATTCTTACATAAGCGTCCCCACAATTCCCACGGCTCTTCTGATCCCACAAATACAGAAACAGGGAGGACGTTTTTCCTTCACTGTTTTACAAGCCATCTTGACCAACATTTTCTAAGACGAATACAATATGAACTACATATATAATTTTTAGTGTTCTCTTAGCCATGCTACTAAAAAATGAAAAAGAAACATGTGAAATTAATTGTAATATATTTTCTTTAACTCAGCATATCAAAAATATCACTTCAACATGTAATCAATAT